ATACATAGACATTAAAGTACAAGCTAGTACTCATGATCGAGATCTTCTTCTGTCTTCACAATACATAGACATTAAAGTACAAGCTAGTACTCATGGTTGAGATCTTCTACTGTCTTCACAATACATAGACATTAAAGTACAAGCTAGTACTCATGATCGAGATCTTCTTCTGTCTTCACAATACATAGACATTAAAGTACAAGCTAGTACTCATGGTTGAGATCTTCTACTGTCTTCACAATACATAGACATTAAAGTACAAGCTAGTACTCATGATCGAGATCTTCTTCTGTCTTCACAATACATAGACATTAAAGTACAAGCTAGTACTCATGGTTGAGATCTTCTACTGTCTTCACAATACATAGACATTAAAGTACAAGCTAGTACTCATGATCGAGATCTTCTTCTGTCTTCACAATACATAGACATTAAAGTACAAGCTAGTACTCATGATCGAGATCTTCTACTGTCTTCACAATACATAGACATTAAAGTACAAGCTAGTACTCATGATCGAGATCTTCTTCTGTCTTCACAATACATAGACATTAAAGTACAAGCTAGTACTCATGGTTGAGATCTTCTACTGTCTTCACAATACATAGACATTAAAGTACAAGCTAGTACTCATGATCGAGATCTTCTACTGTCTTCACAATACATAGACATTAAAGTACAAGCTAGTACTCATGATCGAGATCTTCTACTGTCTTCACAATACATAGACATTAAAGTACAAGCTAGTACTCATGATCGAGATCTTCTACTGTCTTCACAATACATAGACATTAAAGTACAAGCTAGTACTCATGATCGAGATCTTCTACTGTCTTCACAATACATAGACATTAAAGTACAAGCTAGTACTCATGATCGAGATCTTCTACTGTCTTCACAATACATAGACATTAAAGTACAAGCTAGTACTCATGATCGAGATCTTCTTCTGTCTTCACAATAACATATTCTCACCTGACTATGATGATTACTAACGCTCGGGAAAGTTGAGACTTCAGTGATGTAATAACCAACAAAAGTTATTTTCCAGCTTAGGTTGTTGGAAGGGTGAATAACGCTATCCACTGATATAGTCCCAGCCGGTGGATAGTGATGTACGCTACACGTGAACACTTATATCCGTTGGATAGCGTTTACTCATTGGCTAGCGTCATCCTCCCTTTTGAACACCTGGACCCAGGTCGTTCCTTGTTATTTGTAACTGTAGTCTTTTCTCTCTTGACAGCTTTTGACCTCTGGTCAGTACTATATGCGCTATTGTATTTACTATATGCGCTATTGTATTTACTATATGCGCTATTGTATTTACTATATGCGCTATTGTATTTACTATATGCGCTATTTGCGCGGCGGAGCAACTCTG